ATATATATATATATATATATATATTCAACACAGCTCTTTGCTTGAAACATAACTGTATTATCACTATTATTAAATCCTGGCTGAGATAATAAGGGAGGATTTATTAGATGCCGGTAAGCATTAGTATTTATTAAATTGATATAAATATATAAATGATATAAATAACATATATATAAATATATGTATATATATAATTGTATTATCACGATTATTAAATTGATAATCAATTTACGTAATAAACACTGATGCTTACCGGCATCTATAATAAATCTTTCCTTCCCACGATGCGATATAAAGAATTATTTGCTGCAAAAAATATTATCTCAGCCAGGATTTAATAATAGTGATAATACAGTTATGTTTCAAGCAAAGAGCTGTGTTGAATCCGAAAGTAACGGCACGCAGTTTGTTGAAACTAGAATATGTATGTAAAATTACACAGAAATATTAGAAGCACCAAGATCCTGTTATGACCGTTATATATATATATATTTTGATCTTCTCTTAATTTAAATCTTAATGATCTTAATTAAATCTTATTAACAAATCTTAATTATATTCGTTAAATGATAACTATGTAATATGATAATTATTTTTATGATAACTATGTAATAAATTAAGCAAATCGATGTTTTAATTACGTATAAGGAAAGTATATGTTCTAAAATTGAATCCACAGAATTTGTATCGCGAAACAATTTGGACAAGTCGGGTCGTACTTGGTATTACGCCATTTGCGCCGATGTGCAACTAGACACCGGTCTCACGGTTCTCTCGTTACGAAGTTGCGACAAATATTATCTTCAGGAAGGAGAGTCTATAATCAGCCTGCATGATCCCGAGGCGGAAAGGCGATATTTCACGTCTATGTGGTTGTGGTAAATATGAGAACCTTCGCTTTGTGTAAAATCAGAATAAATCGAAAAAATACGTTGTTATTACACAATAGAAGTAAAAATTTGTGATTTTTCGTTCTAATATGCATTAACTATTGAAGGTGCATCAGAACGCAACAGTGGGAAGCTGCGAAAGTTTGGAACAGCAGGAACGTGACGGCCGAGAGTATAGCGGACGAGTACAAGGTGGCAGCGACGATTACCGCGTTAAAGAAACTCGAGGGACTGTTAATTTTGTATGGTAATAAAGTGTGGATGAATATTTGAATATTATGCGATGTATGTGTAAAATTATTATCAAAGTAAAACAAAGTTGCAATTTTGCAGTGAAGGAAGTCACTAACAAAAACATAAACGCATTAAACACGCTAACGGAAATTAATAATGAATTCAAGCGTATCAAAAATATGACAAATATCGTAAAAATTGCAATTCCCAGGTATATATTTATTATTAACAATTATTTTATTTATATATAGAATTCATTATATTTTATATTATTACTTGTGTAAAATAATTTTAAATATTATAATTTAAAATTATTTTGATAGTACATTAAAACTTCAATACTTTATCCAAAGAATTATTTTAAGAAATCGAAATGGTCGCAGGTACATGTTGATGAAAGCTTACTATTATATGATACAGTCGCGAAAAAGTGCTGCAATAAAAATGCTACAAAAAACGAAGAAGTTATCTATAAAAGTAGACAACAGAATGATTTATGCATGGGCATTTCATTGTCAGCGGGTATGATAAAATTCTTTTTTTGTTATGACATCACAATTTTGATTAAACTTTACCGTGTTATGTTCAGGCTTGGTTAGGTGCCATATCTTCTATACACAAGGACTTGTGGCAAGAAAAAAGTATGAAGCTGCATGTTGGATGGGATGAAGTAAATGCTAATGATTCAACGATGATTCCTTTTACATTTCCATTGCTTTAGTACGTATTGTGAATATCTAATTTTAATGTTATACATGTAAGTGTATCTACATAATTAATAAACTAACGGTAAGAAATTCTATATATATTATACATTTAGTAAATCCGTTGCTTTAAAATGAATAGATTAGAAGAGAGGATTAGGATTTGATATTTTAATACTGAGAATATATTATATCTATTTGATCTTTAATACTTATAAAAAAATATAGCGTGTTATCTATTGGAAATTTACAGAGATATGACTACGTAGTTTAATAAACACGATTTATATACATAGAGGCGCTAGTGAACAGGTTTTACTTAAAACGCAGGCATATTCACTCTCGGGTTTCTCTCTGAATTAAGATAAATTTTCGTGTTTTATTATTGGAATTCTGAGACAATTGAAAAGTATCAACATTATTAATTATCAATAAAAAATTTTTAATCGTCATAATTTCAATCGACATAAATATCTGACCGGGTACAGTTTTAATGCAATAGAAAGTTTATTACTTTTTACTATACAAATGCTTTATAAATTCGCATTTATATTTATAACAATTATATATCATATATATTGTCACGAGAGTATGTATTTTGTTTTTACACACCCAGACAACATGCCTATTTATAAAAGTTTTGGTTCTTTTAAAAAAACGTCAATTTTAACATCTTTAAGACTCTAATATGTCTTAAAGACTTACGATATCTGTACACAAAAATATTATATTTGCATCTAAATATTTAATTTAGCGCGGATTGCTCTTTGCTGCAATGTCGCGGTGACATGTAATACAACATTGACGTCATTGACACTGTTTTATGAACGGGCTAGTTTGATTCTTCATCTCACCACCGTCACCCAATTGCACACCCAGTTTGTTTCGTGGTTCACGGACCAAATGCGAAACGTTAAAACGTAATTATACCAATCATTGTGCAATGGCGCGCGGTGGAGTGTGCGACGCGGCTGTGTGCGTTTCATTAGTGATAACGTACGCGCCGGGTAGCTGCAAGCGGTCACTGTTAAGTGAATGGTGATCGGTATAAACAAGCCAATGCTATACTCGAAAGACCTACATATCTTTCTTCTGAACCAACGAGAAGCAATGACGTTTTATTATGTAGGTCTAAGAGATCCGGAACAAAGAAAAATTCGAAAAAATTTATATTGCGCGTCCGTGTGTTGCATTTTGCGGATCGACGATAGCCATACATATTTTCCAAAATCAATTTTATTTACAATTTTTGTTACTTTGTGTGTCTGAATGACATTTTCTCACACGATCAGTCTTCCCCTCTTTTCTTCTTTATTTTTTCTTCTAAATCGCTGAAGTCCTGAAAGTCTTAAAAAAAATGAGAAAAACGATAATTTGTGTAGATTTAAGTTTTATTTTTGTTAATATATAACAAAGATGTAAAATGAACATTTAAGGTCTGTAAATGAGCTAAAGCACCACTGACAGAAGAGACGTACACACCTACCCGATCATTTTTTGCGCGACGGGGGAAGGAAAAGACGCGTCGATCGTTTCTAATCGCTATGCGCGTCTTTCTTTTTTAATCCGACAAGGACTGTCTTTTTTTTTACCTCCACAAGGACTCAGTGCACTATCGCTCACGCTCATTGATCCGCGCGAGTGCATTTATGCAGATTATCATGTGCAATTTGTGTCATACGCGGGAAAGATGTCGGGCAGAAATATTGGCAGCTGTTTATCGCATTACGCTAAACGCTTATTCGAATATATGTTGATCTACATTAAATATAAGCACATTAAAAATAATAGCAGCGACGAAAGTTAGATACTTTTTATGCATAATTTTGAATGTTAAATAATACTAATTAATTTATCATGTTATTAAGATAAAGATTAAATTATGGATGTAAACTATATTCTATTTTTATTTTTTTAAGTATATCGGATGTTGTCGCTCTTCTTAATGTACGGATAAAAATCGGCGGTGCGTGCTACCCATTATGCATTATTATTGTTTGTAAAGCCAACGAGGAAAACATTGAGTAGTTGCGAAATCTAAACACTGGCATTTAGCTAATTCATGATGCGCTCCTTCATTATCTGCACGCCTCATTATGCCAGATGTCACACGTAACACTGTTGCAGATGTTTATTAGAAGAGACCAAGTAAGTGCGACCTACGTTTCTCTTAAATTAACCGCCCACCTCTGCATGACAATGAAATAGGAAACACAAATGATCAAGACTGAGAACCTATACTTAGCTTAGCTAATTCAAGAGAACTTCATGATACAAGGATATATTATGTCGTAATCATTTATTTCATTTATTCTATTAATTAAAAATACGGATGATACTAACAATAATAATAATAATAAAATGAAAACCTTTATAATTTTTTTTTAATACTTTATAATGGAGAACAAAGACTTATAGCCAATTTCTTTTCAAATGCATAATTTTAAAATTGTTTAAATGTAGATAAAACTTACTCGTTGCTTTCTCGTAAGGGGAGATGAAAAAAAAATACAAAATATCCGATTTTACGACATGATTATCTTCGGGATAAAATTCATGCAGTTCGTTTAAATTGAAAAATTAAAACAATAAAGAAACTAAATAAAAATTAAATATATTGCAGCTTGTTGGAGAAACATATTAGTCTACTGAGCTTTCATTTTCCTACGCCTAAGTTATTTGCAATAGTACATAATTAGAAGGAGCATAGTAATTAATACCGTCAATACTTAGATGCCTAATAACTTCGGTAATTACCCAAGTATTTCAAGTATTTGCCAGATTATCTCGATAATTCACGGGTATAATATCTGTGATTTTCTATGTGAATGAATAGGATATCTTGAGTACAAAGATTACAGTGATTAGTACTAATATATAGATTGCTCTATTAGTATTGATGGCAATACCACCGTGTATACAAACGAGCCGCGTTGTGTTGTACTTGAAAGTGAAATGAAAACGTGAGTGTCATTCCGCGAGGAGATTCTAGGACTGCGCGAGGTGGGGCACCTGAGATGAGAAAGGATTGAAAGCTCACGCGTGCACCATTCATAGTTGTCCATGTAACCGCTGGTCCATATAACAGCCTCCGCACTTCGGCGCACTGTGACATATCGGTGCATGCTCGCCGCGTACAATTACCGCTGCAGATTGGAGTCTCATCGAGAGTGGCATCGTGCCTTCGGAATCTCCATTTTTCCCCCCTCCTCCCGTACCTCCTCCCGCGTACGTCCTTAGTGAAACTCGTTTCTATAGTCGTCGACGCGATCTGTTCCAAGGGTAGCTACTTCGCGCATTCATGATCTGATCTTAATTCCATCGCGGCTAGATAAACGCGAGGTGTGACGCGATCAGGCGTTTGCAAGTCGGCACACTTGCGTGATCGCCGATCGCCGATTGCTCGCGTTGCGAGGGTGCATGCAAGGTCACAAGGTCACGGAAGTCCATTCGCTCGGAGTTCGCGTGAGCTTACGTTAAGATCGCGAAGAGAGCAAGCTCCACCGGAATTCTAAAGCATTTCCTGATGCCGCTGTCTTATCGTTATCTGCATAATTAATTTGTCTATCGGCGCAATTCATCAGTCAAGCTTATTTGATTATGCTTATGGGTAGATAGAATTTTTTCCCATCGTTATATATCAACATTCATATCTCTTAATAGCTGTGTAATAAATGTCGATGACGTAAGTCTGTTTTGGAAGGCTGTTCTAGCTTCGTATAATGATGCAGTTAATTAAACCTTTAATGGCTATTATATAAATTAAAAAAAACAATTATTACTATGATATTTATAATAATAATTGTTTTTTATATAATACTTAATCAGAGGAAGAATTTCCATATTGTATTCTTTGAAGTCTCTGAGTAATAATTAGATGACATACACGACATTTACATTACAGATGTAACATTGAACATGTGAAGGTAGGCATAAATAAAATTGTTGTTTAACTGAAGAAAACACGTTTTAAAAAATTCTTTTCTATTTAACATTAATATAAAATTATTGAAAAATAATAAATTGTACAATATTTATTTATTCATACTTATAAAAGATAAAATGAAGCTGTCACTGTTAATTTCATTAGATTATTACATTATTTCACAATGAGACAAAACTGTTAGATTTATATTATATTAGTTTTACTTTAAAATATATTAGTTAATTTCTGCTGTTATAATTATATTTTATTTATTTCTTCTTTTGCATTTCTTTGTCTATAGCATAAATATACATTTATCTCATTTTAAATTCCAAAAGGTTAAACATCTTACTGCTACGCAGTTCTTAGAACTTAAATTGCCTCACAAGGCGTAACAATATAGTGAACTTAATTGCTCCAAGCCCAAAATGCCGATGCTGTGACAAAGAAAAAGAAATTGAAAAAAAATAAGATGAACCAAAAAGATAGTCGAAGTATTTTCTTTTTTTTCTTTATGAATGTTGATTTCTGTCAGAGAATATTTTATTCTCTCTTTTCTCAAAACAGAATTTTTCTTCTTTGTTTTTGAAGCGGTAATATTTTCTATTTATGTTGGTTTTTCTCTTTTTTATCTTTTTTATTTAAATTAATTTTCTTTATTCAGCAACTAAAATGTAAATTTTCCATCTTCGCGTATCAGTGAATTAATCGTAAGATAAAAAAAAGTAGCATTTGGATCAAGTAATCGTTTTTGATTTTTTAAAACGTATAAAATTCTATAAAACAGCAATATAACTTAAAATCCATGACACAAGCAGTCATCCCCTTCGTTTTCTCCACCACCTGTTAGAGATGCCATGAACAAAAGAGAAGCAGAACTGTCGCAGCCACGCTTTAGTTTATTGCCGCTGATCAAGTACCGCTGCTCCTCGCCTCTCACGTGTTTAATGACATGCAATTTTGCAACGTATCTTTGCCGAGTCCTTGGGCCGGGAAACTATATAAACCGTGTGTTTATAATTGGCCAGGCTAGCTGCCAGGATTTTTAACCAGGCAGGATGTCGTTCTACGCACTCGTTCTATTCTGCGCTACCGCGTTTGTGCTCGCCGCGGCTCAGGATTTGGAGCTTCGTAAGTCCTTTGTTGAACTACTTCCCTTTGCCTAAGATCTGAGGATTATTTTTATAATTTTAAATTTAATTTCATTTCGCTACCTTTCAATTTTGCCTCGAGCAAGAACTAATTAATCAGAAAAATGTCAATTTAATTTCGATATTTATAATAACAATTTTAGATATCACTTTCAGCGTGCGGATAGAAACGTGTGCATTTTTTAACTTGTAAAATTCATGTGCTATTATGACAGTTATTTTTATATGTCACAAAATTTCTTGTAAAATTCATGTGCCGTTATGACAGTTTGCTGGAGATAAATGTTATTCGTTGATAACATTGATAACTCTGTTCTACGATGTTCTTGACATTATTTGTCTATAATTTTTATATACAAGCAGATAAAGGTTTCTTTTATATTAAACTCATTATCAAATTGACGATTAATTTAATTTGTGATAGCATTTCGACTTTATGAGTGCGTTCTTAAAGACCGACACTAATTGGCCTGCAGTTTATGATAGCCGAAATTTAAAGATTTAAAAAATAAGAATATTATTAGACAACCAACATCTAGTTTCAGTCGAATTTGATCCTTTCTTCCTTATTATTTGTTATGTAAATTATAAGTTATAGATCAATTGTACAAACAAAATAACAGAATCGTCAATGCATTTATTGATACATTAATTATGACTCAGATACTACTTTTGCTTTCTCCATGCAGAATAAGCAACTGGTTTCAAGAAATTAAAACGATAAAAAGGATTATTATCATAAAGCAAATCAAATTAGAGTATGAGCGAATAAAAATATTTTAACACAATTCTTTTATTAAACTAACCTTGTGAGAACGTTTAAGTACCCAAAATAAAAAGAAAGTTATATATATATATACCTATATATAAGTATATGTTATTTTCAACACTTTATTTTTGTTTTTCAATTTTGGCATTTTTTAATTGTGTTAATAATTATTTTATTTTAAAAATCTATAACTATTTGTCTTGTAATTTTTAACCGATCTATCGATCTAATCAATCTAATGCAATAATCGCAAATACATAATCTTACACAACTACATCTTGAGAAAAGAAATGACCGAACTATTTTTATTATAAATTCGTTTTTATCTTACCAGTTTTTTCTGTATACTCTAAAAAATTGTTATTATAAATATCAAAGTTAATAAAATTTTTTTTTATTAATTGGTTTGCTTGAGGCAAAATTGAAAGGTAGTCAAATTAAATATTCTTTAATATTTAAGATTAAAATTTATGCATAAAGTTATGTTTACATTTATAACAGAATGACTAGTAATTTCAAATAAGTTTGCATGTGTGCAGATTTATATTTACGGTTGAACGGATAATAATTGCACAAGTTTAAACGTTTAATCATATACTTTTACCATTTTTCACACGTTTCAACCGCTAATTATGCTAATTTCATTCTCTCTCTCACTCTCTCTGTTTTTCTTTGGCGAAAAACAGTTTTTACGAAAACTGATATGCAACTGATCGATGCATTTTGTGGCTAGTTTTATTATCGGAGAAAGGAAAGGTTTCATTAACATTAACCACAATAAATTCAAAGCTTGTATATAGGATTTCCTAAGCCAGTTTGTGCCAGATCCTGTCAGAGTGACTCATAATGATAAATATATACTAATTAAATATTTACTAGAATTGAAAGTTAATTTTAAATGTTGAAATAATTAGCATCAAAATGAACAATAGTCAAGTAATGCTAATAAAAAGATTGCGATTTTATTATTTTTTACCGCAACTTAATCATATTTAAATAATTTTAATGTAGATACTATTATTATTAATATATATATTATATATTTTTACGCAGCTGTGCAAACCTGCAACCATGATGCAGATGACTATTCGTCTTGCTTGAGACTTGCATTGCAAGAAGCATGGCCAAACTTCATCCAAGGTATTAAAAACAGAATATTAATAACTAATTTCTCTTTACTCGAAATTATCAAGTCTGTATTATATTTAAAAGTGATGTGTGTGTGTGTGTGTGTGTGTGTGTGTGTGTGTGTGTGTGTGTGTGTGTGTGTGTGTGTGTGTGTGTGTGTGTGTGTGTGTGTGCGTGCGTGCGTGCGTGCGCGCGCGCGCTTATGAATGAAAACCGATTTGTCATTATTTAATTTATGTTAATATATTATACATTTAAACGAGTTTTAATCTTTTCCCGAAGGTATTCCGAAACTCGACATACCAGTCTTGGATCCATACTTTATCGAAGAGCAGAGAACCATGTACGAAACCCAAGAACTAAAAGCGGACATAACAGTGACTAATGTTAACGTCTATGGACTTGCGAAGGCTCAATTCAAGGCTGTGAGACCGCAGCATTCCGATAATTTCTTCAAATTGGAGCTTGATGCCGATTTGCCGAAGGCGCTCATCGAGGGTAATTACAAAGCCGAAGGACAAGTGGGAGCGATGCAAATTGGCGGTCACGGTAGGTACAGATTAATTACTTTTAATACCGATAATATTTCTAATATATATGCGAAATATCATAAAATTGAAAAATATTGGAAATACAAAAGAAGATATTGTTATATATGCACTTTCTATGAACAGATGCTTGTTACTTTATTTAATTTTTTCAATTTTATGTAATTCCATTATTGTTTGATGAAATTTTATGAATTACACTGAATTACATTGAATTACATTTATGAATTATTATTCTAATAATAATTCATAAATGTAATTCTGATTTTGATTTTATATGTAATTTTCAAATTTTTAAAGTTTTGATTTTATAAACAAAATAGGTTTAAATATTTGTATAAAATTTATTAAGATTAAATTATTCGCGAGATTAATGCATCTTGTCTATCGCGGCAGGATTCTTTAACATTAGCATGGAGGACATTAAAAGCACGTGGATACTGGAAGGACCTGTAGCTAACGACAGATGGACGCTCGAACATTTCCAACTAAATCCGGAGGTCGGAAAGATGCAGATTTGGTTCAGTGACATGTTCAACGGTAACGAGGAACTCAGTAAGTAAACTGTTCAACGTATTTTTTAGCTGAGATGAGCGTTTATCGAATTTTCACATTTCCCTGAACAATAAATCCATTTTCTTCTCTTAAGCTACATAAAAAAAAAAAGAGACACTGGACGCGAGACATTGTATTCTTTCCGTTCTTATTGCCGTAGTTGTGTCTACTGTTTCATTATTCCTAATTGTCTTGTTATATCACTTCAGCAATTCCTGGATAATTATTCGATGGGAAACTCTGATACCTATGCCGTAATCTCTCTCGTTACATAATGCAGATTACGAATACACTTAATATGCCTTTTTTATGCGACGGCATTCTTCGTGGCGCGATCGTCACATCATCTTACACACACACACACACACACACACATACACGCACAGATTCTCACAGAATTTTCACTTTCAGATAACGCCGCCATGAAATTCGTCAACGAATATTGGCCGACTTTGTATCGCCAGATGCTGCCGTTCCTCACGAAGAGCTGGGACGAACGTCTCACCGAGATCGGAAATCGCGTTTTATCGAAGATATCCTTCTCGAAGACGTTCCCTTGAAGTCCCCGAGAAGACGTTCCTTCCCGCTAGGGCACGTACATATAGCGTAGTATGTATGAACGAAGGAGCGCCAATTCGCGCCGAAGTCGGCGCGAGTATGTATTTTTTTTTTTTTAGGCGACCGCCCGAAGCCGGCGCGGAGGAACGCGAAATTTCCTCTGTTTCCAAAGTCTCTGCGAACATCCCGACGTGACGAGTTCGTCACTTCTCACCGTGCGTACTCCTGATAGTGTGTTACTTAGTCTTGCACGACGTCGACATGCGTGTGAATAGTGCGGCGAGTTTATTGCATAATTACGTAACGTGTAAACACATAGATTATTCTTAGCATTGTTACTATTATTGTGTTACTGCTATTTTCACTAGCGATTGTTTATGTAAAGCACACAGACGTAATAAATATCATGGATAATATGATGGGTATCAGTAGATGTATAAATTCAAAGAATAATTTTCCGAATAATTTTTATGACTCTCTTGAAGGTTTTCTTCCAAATTATTGTTGATCTATCGCGTTTAAACAATTTGTCAATTATTAAGCAAAGCGTAGTAGATAATAATTTATATGTAAAAGGATATAAACGAACTAAAATAATTAATTTTTATCATATATTTATATGACAGAAGGTACATTCATTTTACTCTCAATATATACCATAATTCCATTGTGCGCTAAAACTCTAATACCACATCTGAAACTTAATATAATAACGATGTATTATATCTCTATGATATAAGCAACAATTACATTTACTATCAACATGTAATATATTTTTTTTTCTAGGAGAATATCAACGAGAATTATCTATTAATCTTTGAATATAAAATTGTATGCTCTCTTCAGGCAATTTGTTCAATTTCTGATTGATCACATAATTAACGTTTTCATGAAAGTAAACGAACAATTAAAAAGTAGCATATAAACATTATGTCACCTATAATTAATTATTTACTTCTAAAATTTCGTCTTTGTATAGATAATTAATTAGATACAATACGTTGTATATAAATTTTGTCTATTAAAACAGTGACAGTTTTTCAGTTATTTATTTTTCTTTTTTTTAAGAATATTTAAATCTTAGAAAGTATCCAAATGAAATTTTACTATTAAAAAATTGAAAAGCAATTTAAATGGGCATTTACATATTGTATTTTTCTTTTATCTTCTTAATTTAAAAAATGCCTAAAATACCTTTTTTGTAACGCATTATTTAAGTGCATATATTTAAAATCTATCGTTGATTTCAATAACAAGAAGCTAATGGTAACTAATGAAGATACGATGTAGACGTCTTAAGGTATAAGGAACGATTCCACTGGTAAGTGTCGCAACAGTTGATTGACAATACCAGCAAAGAGCGCCGATAGCTTCTTCTTTAGTTGCGGTTCCATCAGTTTCAGCACTTCTTGCCCATTTTCTCGAAGGAAGAGATTGATTGCCTCGGCTAAGAATTGAAAAAGCAGTATAGTATTCATAAAGATGAATTGTTGTAGACTACGTTTCTGCGTTTTGCTTACTGAGTATTCGATTGTTATTGAAGATCTTGCTGACTCGCATTTGCAAATTTTTTACTCCGAGCACGACGTCGAGATTTTCAACGTTCATATACGTCTTTCCCTCTTGCGATTTCGTCGAGACTGTCCCTCTGACTAGTGCCCTAGCATCCCCGAAACGCGCGTGGAACGTACCGTTTCCACTTGCAGGCAAAATTATTAAAACACCAGAACTGTAGAAATTAAATAAAATAGATATTAAATAGAAATTCAATTAAATAGATATTCCATTACTTAAATATAAAAAATTATAATTGTTTATATCATATGTCTTTTACAATTTATCAAACTACAGTTTTTACCGCTTATAAAACGGAGTGAATATTACATATTCTTTTAAAATAGAAAAATTTTTATTTATATACACATGGAAATTATAATATATTTAAAAAATTATTTTATGCTTCGTTTGACTTGTATGTACGGTAAATGTACCAGTGACTGAACATGTATCTATATCTGAACGTACACAAAATTTATTAATCTCAATTGCTTTTTTTTTATTATAATATCAAAATTTAATTGTAAAAACATTTAAAGATTCTAATTAAATTATAATATTATGAAAAAAAGCATTTAGAAATAAGTTTTTGTATACGTGTTCCGATATAGATACATGTTCAGTCACTGATATGTTTATATTCGTCTTCCGCTCATAAATAGGTACAGAATTTACGTGCCTGGAATAATGCGCGTCTAATATAAGAGCCGGCATTCGTATAAGGGCTTGGAAGGGTGAGCCGAGCTTGATGTCCTCTACCGTGTAGTTACTAGCTCCCCTAATGTAAAGGTCCCGTAGCTGAATCTTATATCCGTTTATACCACCTGTCAGAGAGAGAGTCAGTTCGTCCATCTGTTGGAATAGACAGAACAATGTGTGATAGTGAATGTAAAACGGTGTAAATAAGAAATCCATTTTATATATCTATATCGTTTCGTAGTACAATTTATTAGGTCGAATTTTAAATACGCGAGATTGGCGAATACTTTTCAAATAAGAACAACGCGCATGCAATGAGTGGGCAATCTTTTATTAACTGTCTCTTTTAAATTTAACAAATTTTAAAATTTCTGGACAAATTTCTAAACAAATATGTACACATCCATTATGAATAAAAACAAATAAAAAGTACAAATTATTGAGAAATGTAGACAAAGTCTCGTTCTTTGTAATGTTATAAACATTACAAAATAAGAAATTTCTTGTTTAAAATGCTTTTTCTTGGAAAGAAAGACCTATCGATATAAATTATACTAAATGCAATAACGTCAGATTGATATTGCTTGTCTGTATTATATTCAATTTAAGATAGATCAAACTTACACGGAACGGTTCTACCGAGGGTAATTCGATTTCGGGGATTCCGACTTTCAGATAGGGTCGCAGATGGTGTAGAGCGTCGATCAGACAAGTTATCAGCTTCGGATCGCTTTTGGAACATTGCTTCACATAATCGGCTACGAGTAGAATGTTATTAGAAACGTGTCGACTGTATACTTGAACTGACTGTATATTGCGTAGTCACGTACGTTTCATTATTTTGAACGTGCGGTCATTATAGGATTCGTTGAATTCTTCTTTGTATTCTTTATTGAGCAGGAGAAATTTTACTTATACGTTCTAGATCGTATAAGTAAAAGCGTCAATGAGTAAAAAGCGTGTTAAACTCTATAGCCGCGTTAAAAGTGAAAGTACTATCTCGTGACGAAAATGCACCTTCAAGAATATAAGTATTGCAGATTGGTACAGCTGCAAGAGGTTACTTATACTAAGAGCTGTTTTTCTGACGTTTTTTCTAATGCTTTGCAAAATCACGTCAGAAAACTATTAGTACGGCGTGCAATAAATAGATTGCATAATTAGAGCATATGCATATTGTATGTACACGTACATATATGTATTCAAATATCCACGACAAGAATAATATGTGTTACTGTACTTTAATTTGTATTTTTTTTTTTCGGCTATATTCTATTTCTAGAGCGCTTTATTCTATTTCCAGTAAACGGAAATGGATTGGATTTATAGATATTCGATTCATTTCCACGAAGGCCAATCCATTTCAATCAATGGATTAAAAAATTTCAATCCATTTTAATCCATTTCCGTTGACTATTTCATAATGTAAATCTGCAGATAAATAGGTATTGATCATTATTAATAATTTTAGATCATTATGAATTTTTTTCTTATTGAATTTAAATAAAGATAGAAGCTTACGTTTCTGCCGTACTTTGAACATATTTGATTACAACATAGTACTTTTTTACGGAAACGAAGATCCGGCATTTGCGACAGCGCGGAGCTATTTGCGTGCAGGAAATTACATGTAATTTGAGTTAGAAAATTTTCCATTATTACAAAAAAAGTATATTTTAGCATATATAAAACAATTAGATGTTCTCATAATATTTTAAAATTATATAGGTTGTGTCTTATTTACGGAGTTTCTTTTATAAATATAATACAACTCTGAATTGTAAGCAATTTATTTAGTATATCTTTTCGTATGTCAATCTGATTTCTTAGCGACAATCAATTGCAAATCATTAGAGCATTTATTTATTTGTACAATTAAATTATATTATTCTTGCTTATTCAAATTCAAGTATGGTTATAACTGTATGAATATTCAGCGGCGAAGATATCAAAGATGACGCTAATTTAAATTCGTAGAAAATGTTTGAATTACTCACGGTTGGTGTCGGAGGAGAGAGTTGCCGTGCAGCCGACGACAAGGAGGAGGATGGCCCGCAGCCTCTTGGTCATAATTTTTCAGGACAGTCGCGGCGGCGACGACAAAGACGGAAAGTTTTGCGAAAGTTTCGATTATATCAGGACTTGTGGTATCCAATTTCGCGATTTCGAACTTCTGCTGAAGTTAGACACTTGGGATCTTATTGCGATGGAGGGATCATACGAGGGATACGACGACGAGTTCGAAACTGAAGACTCGAATCGCGCGTTAAACGGCGCCGTTAGAACAAGACTGACTATATGCAAGAGAGGGCATTGACAGACGTGCGCGGCAGATCGTAGTTGCACTCGCGGATACTTTCACTGCTGCTACATGTATGCACCTGCGCCTCCTTCGTCGTCTGCAACAGCAGACGAGTCTTGCCCAGATCGTGGACTGTGGAGACGACTAGATGAAAGTGCCTTACCTGAGGAGACATGATGTGTGTCTGCGCTGTGTCTCCCGCGTATAAATCACCGGGTTGCTGCACAATGAGAAATTTGCAACAACGGCATTTGATTATGACGAAAATTGTATTTGCAAATCGACATGCAATTTTTTTAAAGAGAGTAAGTTGAAACAAGCACTGGAGAGATTGAATTTTGCAAATTAATCTTTGGTTACAGAATATCTCCAGAATTGTAAAATATTAAGCAATAGAAAATATAAGACAAACTTTCATATGATCTACTATTTTTATTTTATCTCTACATAGAATTTAATGTATAGCCATATTTTGACTACGTTATCGTAATATTTCTGTGCATAAAATATAAAAAAAATTGATTTCTGTAAAAAAAATTATAAGGATCAAAAATAAAATAAAATCAATTTTTCAATCTGAAAAGCGATTTTATTTAAAAGAAAGTTATGCTCGTAATAAGACGTATCTTAATATAATTACGTTTAAAATAATTATTTTAGATAAAATCAATATTTGTTGTGTTTTGAATTGTGTAAGGAATTTTATTTAATAACTGCTTTTTAAAAAATTGTACCTTATTCTATTTTTAAACTCCTTTTATCTTGTATATATAATCCGTCATATGTAACGTTCTTATTAAAATTTAAATGAAAAATGTTCACTTGATATTATGGATCTTAAGCCCGGTTTACAATTGCGTAAACGTAGGCGTAGAGTTGTGAAAGTAGTAGTAAATGTAGTAAAGTAATAAATGTATTAGTATAATAGTAAATGCAGTAAATGTTGTACAATAATTTAATCTACAATCAAGTAAAGATATGTTGTAACTTGATTACAACTCTCTAGACAAATTCAACGAACCTGCGTCTTCAAACTGAGTACTGCTCTCTTTATATTCCATAATATTATCCATAATATTAATTCATACTATAAAACGCAATAAAAACCTTGAGAACAATCAGATCGTTAATTATTTCCATGCATCCGGTATCGAGACAACAAGAATTATGATGACGCGATCACGTGTCAACACACGTGTCAGCCTTCTCATTGGTTGACGCGCTTACGTTTTACGCAGTCATAGTCGTGAAAGATAAAGTTGAACCATCTTTCACAATTTACAACTAGTAGCAGCAGCTTACAACTGCGATTTACAACAATTCACAACCACTTACGTCTACGTTTACGCAATTGTAGACCGGGTTTTATATAATACAGAAGCCATTTAAAAAAAATTACAAAAATCGTAATTTTTTCTTTTAATTTTGACTGAATATGACAGGTAATAACCGGATTCTTGGCATAAAACTGCGAAACTACAAAGATAGTTCATGAAGTAAGACAATAATCTTATATGCAATGTAAACAATAGGTCCATGTTGTTAAAGTGCAATTGTGGACGCAACGCAGTAAGAATATACCGTACTCTGTATGATGTAACGAGTCGTTTGCATTGGACTGCAATTAAGCCGTTTGCATTATGCAATGAGATTTCGATAGAATGGACATGTATTCCGTGGTTAACTCATTCTTCTTAATATAAAAAAAATGTTACAGCATAAAAATGACTCTAAAATAAATTTTGAAAACATTAAATTGAGAAACCAAAAAAGTTTTCTGCCTATAAATTTTTATATTAATTTATTAAAACTTTTTCTTTTGCCAAGTTGCAAATAATTAAGTCAGTTTAACAACATTTTTAAGATTTTACTGGAATTTAATTTTTCCATTATTTTAAAATTAATATACATTATTATTAGTGAATTTATTCTAATGTCATTTAAGATGTGTTATTATATAACTGTGTTTTAAGATATAAATTTATATTTACAAATATCTGACGACAGCCTGCATATATACAAACTATACATAATTGTATAAAAATTCTAACGAGTAAGATTCCCATACAGCACAAAAAGATTGCTGATATATTGCAGAATAGTTTCATTGAAATATTGCGATATTGCAAATTGGTTGCAAAACATTGCTGCATCATTGTTGTATGATTGCGACAACATTAAGATGGCCGCTTTTTGTAATATTACAACGAAATATCATAGCAACATTGCAATGTAATATAGTTGGAAGAATGCAACAGCACAGAAATATTCTAAGAACGATCGCAAAATTTTATTAATCAGCATTATAAATCAGAAAATAAAAGAAAATACACACGACAAAATTATGATTAAAAAAATAGGTTTGGAAACTAATTTTATAAGTTTGTATTTTTAAGTGGTCACTCATCTAAGCTATGTACCTAGTCCAATGTTGCTTAACTTTTGTGATCGTCCAGGAACTGTTGCTTCGTGATATGATCTGTGATTTATTAGTAACAGATCTATGCTAGTGATCTGCTGAATAGAAGTTGTCAAGAAGATAGAATACATATAGTTAAAACATATTTTATTTGTAAATATAAAATTTACATGTATTAAAGTACAAAATATAATATTTTGACTAATTTATTTTTTGTTCTCTTTGATATACGCGCGTTGGACAAGCGTACGTATCACTTTTCGAAGCTTATTAATTGAGTTATTTCTGAGATTATACACGCGCGAAAGAAAACGGAATGATTGTGTTGATCTCTTGTACAGATGATTGTAGTACAATCATGAAAACGGGAAACGAAGAATATCATGTGTTGTTATGTAAAATTAATTGATATTTAATAAAAGATCGGAAGAGCACACGTCTGAA